TTATTAGCCCTGTCTGAGCCGAGTTCAAGCTGTAATGCAGTAGAGATGAGCCCGAAGTTCTCGCCAGTCTGCAGCACCACTGCCATGTCCGCTTGCTAAACTCAGAAAACAACCGCCGGAAACTCGAGAAACTGAAATGTAGCATCCGTCAAACGGGATTTCGCAGCCAACGCGCTGACTTCTGCGTGTAAATTCCCTTGTTAATGCCCACTGCTGGAATGCTGAAATCTAGATTTGAGCCGATGCACAAATTAATTAGTCGTAGTGTGCGTTACCACGGAGCATCATCCCCCGGAGATGCTTTTGTCTGAAGATGATGGGCACTGTAGACGATAATGATACAAATGTGACGGGGCCAAATGGGATCTTGATGCTCAGTGTACGAACTAGAGGCTGTCGCAGTGACTCGAAAAACCCAGCGGGAGTGGATGACCAAAGTCTCAAAAGGTACTTTGGCCACATGAGTGCTCTTACAATACCGGCATGCCATTCTTTTTTTTTGTAGGCTGAGCGTCTATGTCGACAATGCATGCAGATTTGCTCCTCTCGTACGATTGGTTGTGGAGCTGAGATTCACGGCTATGTTTCTACCAGTCTTGTTGTTGTAAGCTACAAGTTGCACTGCAACGCAACGCTTCAACGCAGAGCCCTGGTCTCACGGCAGTCTAATCACAGCCTGCATCCAAACACCTCCAACACCAGCAAAAAGCCTTCCGACAGAGTCGGAGCGACAAACGGCCGAACCACCAAGTACACCGTCCTCAGTGTCGTCTCCAAATCAATCACTTTGGAATTTGCCAACTCCTGGAGACTTAGCAACAACTCGACATCTTCAGCTTCGGTCTTCCGTTCGTCACCATGCTCAACTCCAAGTCGACGTGGGTCACCATCGACGACGCCAAGGCCTCGTTTAACCTCTTTTGCTGCGTCTGCGGTATCGGTTCGTTGGCCATGCCTTCCAACTACGCCCGTGCTGGGCCCGTCTACGCATCGGTTGCTCTGGGTTTCATGATCTTTTCCAACACGCTAGCGGCTATCAAACTGTCCAAGGCGATGCTGGCGGCTCCGTCGTCAGTCAAGACGTACGGTGATCTCGGTGAGTGGTCTCTCGGCAAATGGGGTCGCTTCTTCTCTGTCGTCTCGCAGATGGGCGTGTGTGTCCTGGTGCCGATTGCCTTCTTGATCCTCGGATCCACGCTGCTCGACGTTCTGTTCCCAGACGCCTTCAGTCAGACCTTCTGGATCATTTTCATGGCTCTCATGGTCACTCCGATTTGCCTGATTCCGACGTTGAAGGAGAGTGCTGGCATGGCTTTCGCTGGTTGCATGGGCACCATTATCGCTGACATCGTGGCGGTGTCGCTGCTGCAGTACAACATGCGCGGCCACGGCTCGATACCCAAGCCGGATGTGTCGCTCCACCAGGTGCTCACGTGCTTCGGTAACCTTGCTCTGGCCTATGGTGCTTCGATCGTCATCCCCGATCTTCAGCGTGAACACTCTCAACCCCAGCGTATGCCGCGTGTGGTTTTTGTGACCATGATGGTCATCTCCGCCTTCTTCTTCGCAGTTGCCATTGCTGGCTACACCGCTGGCGGCTGTCAATTGTCTGGTAACATCTTGTATTCCATCGTGGACACCTCGAACCCAATGGGTGAAGCTCCGCTTGGTTTCACTTCCAACCGCGGCGCTGTAGTGATTGCATACCTGTTCATGCAGATGCACATTACCATGGCCTTCTCGACGCTGATGATGCCTCCGTTCTACGTGGCGGAGCGTCTCATTCTGGGCATGCACCAGAATACGCCCATTGTGCGTTTCAACCCCGACGCCGACCAAGCTCATATCGAAGAGGACATGGAGCTGCAGGAAAAGTTTTCGTACGTGCAAGCCTCGACGCCCAAGGACCTGGCTAACCGTCAAGTGTCGACCTCAAGTCTGTTGGACAAGTCTGAGGGTCGTATCTCCCACATCCGTGCGGCCATCGAGTTCCCCGAGGAGATCACGGAGGCGCAGCTCCGTGCCCCGTACGAGGGAGCCAAGAACAAGCTCCGGTACATCGCACTGCGTCTGTGCGTCATCGTCGTGCTGGTTATCATCGCTGTCGCCGCACAGGACAAGTTCCTTGATCTTGAGGACTTCACGGGTGCTACGGCCCACACAGTCAACTGCATGATCATGCCGATTCTCATCTATATGCGTATCTTCTGGCGTAAGATGTCGGTGCTGGACAAGGGCGTCTCGATGCTGGTGATGCTGGTGTGCGGTTGCGCTGGCTTCTACGTGATGATCCACGCCGCCCAGGAATTGTTCTCACCCTCGGACGATGATACCGCCTTCCCATACTGCGACGTTGAGTTCCAGAATGAACCGTACTACGTCCGTAATAACACCAACTAAGCTGCTCCAGGTTTTGTAGAATTCATGGAGATATTAGTATACCATAATGAGATAAGAGTCTCGCACACAAAATGAACTCAAACAAGTAAAACACGACAAAGCATTTGCGTCTCAGATTGACTCTCGAAGTCCTTGGCAACGCTGTAGGTATAGAAGTGATCAGTGTTATCGAACCAGCGAGTGGCTGGGATCAATACAAAGGCGTGAATATATGCAGTTCAACATCATCTGCTTGAATTTCGAGTGCAGTGCAACGTGCAATATTTAGTTGGTGACGCGTTCTCGTTTTGGTAAAAAAAAAAAAAAAAAAAAGAGCTTTAGCATAAGCAATGACGCACCTTTGCTAGCAGAGGGCAGGCCGACCAGGCTTTTGTCGACTGCAGCTTGAGTGACTTGGCTGACAGTGGGTCGCTCTTGAGGTGGTCGACTTGAAGGAAGACGGAAAGTGAATTTAAGCTATGGATGATCTGCAAGGTGCTTTCTCGGTTTTAAACAGAGCAGCTCGACTGTCTCGTTATTTGAAGCACCAGAAACTTCAGATAACGAGACAGTCGAGCTGCCGCGTCTCGTTTATAAGATGAGCCTTCCCCATCACCTTCTGATTAAAATGATGTGATTGTGTTGATAGTATCAACACAATCGGCTACTGTATCAACTTGATACGGTAGCCATCCACCCAAGAACGGACTGGAGTCTAGCACTCAAAACCTGCTCAACAGTGTTGCCTACATCGCTTGATGATCAAGGCATACTTTGAAAGGCCGTAGAACTCGTGATGCTTTGCTGACGTTGATAAGCAAATCTTTTAAATAAATAACGTTAGAAGATATCTCAACGATCCGCTTGATGTGTAATAAAAGGTTTACAACAAAGAGCGCAACACCATAAAAAATAGAAAGAAAATATCGATTGATTAAAACTGAGCTAATTGCCTACTAGTCGTTTACTGTGTTAACCTTACCATTCATTCCTTGATCCATGAACTGCTTCATGGCGTCAGGATCCTTGATGGGATTCGAACCAGCTTGATCCCGTACTTTTGGCAGATAACATTCTTGAGAGCTTCACGCTTTAGCTGCTCCATGAATGCGGTTGGTGTGTGGTGGAAATGTGCCTTCTCAATATCGTGTTGTATTCCATCGTATTCGAATGCCATAGATAGCTCTTCGCAGTAACCGTCCAGGTCCAATCCTTCCATGAACGAAAGCCTCACTTTTTCGAACATCTTGCCTGGAAACAGCTCCTCAAAGGTCTTGCGAGCGCAAGCTTCGGACTTGAGCAGGCATGATAGACAGTCACTGTTATTCAAAAGCGGCTCTGAACCTTGGTAGCGTACTCGTGATAGTTCTCGCATCTGATCTTCATTTTCTTTTAGGAGCCTGGAATGACTTCTGTAAGCGGAGAGCTGTGCTAGTGCCATTTGTGAACCGATCTTGGCGGCGGTAACGGAACCTATCACCATTTTGGGGCATATCGGGCGCCCCTTGGTCTAGACGTCCGATTAGCAAGGTTCGTGTGACACTCAAGGTAGGCAACTATAGAGCAGATCCACAAACCTTCTTGTCACTGGCGGACGAGAAAGATGCAGGCTCGCCATTCTTCTCGTAGTTCCATTGCTGCAGCAAAACCGGCTTGTGCTTTGCAGCGTAGCTCTTGAACGACACGAACTTGCACTTGGAGCAACGTCCAGTTGATACCGAGCGGGCGTAAATCCTGGGTTCCCATATGTGTGTTGGGTCCTTAGAGCACTGCCAAGACACTTTCTTGCAGCTCTTCGTCGTAAAGTTCCTCATGTCTCCGTACTTTCTTGTCACTGGCGGACGAGAAAGATGCAGGCTCGCCATTCTTCTCGTAGTTCCATTGCTGCAGCAAAACCGGCTTGTGCTTTGCAGCGTAGCTCTTGAACGACACGAACTTGCACTTGGAGCAACGTCCAGTTGATACCGAGCGGGCGTAAATCCTGGGTTCCCATATGTGTGTTGGGTCCTTAGAGCACTGCCAAGACACTTTCTTGCAGCTCTTCGTCGTAAAGTTCCTCATGTCTCCGTACTTTCTTGTCACTGGCTACTCTACTGAAAAATGGGGGCGAATTTTGGGGTTATTTCAACCGCACTTGGCTGGAGCAGTATACCATGGATGGCTGGAACGTTTTCGGCATGAACAACAAATTAATTGCACGGACGAACAATCCCCTGGAGAGATTTATAAGCGCGCGTTTCTCGACGCCGCACCCATCAATGGCGACATCGTGACGGTTATCAAGACGATTCATGTACGCCACATTGCTGACGTTCCTCGTGGACGAGTCCGTCGTGTTGCTCGTGAGGTCATTCAACTAACACATATCGTGAACACTCCATCCGACGTTGACAGCGAGGTGGAGGAGCCGGAGACCGTCGCTACACCCGCAACGGATGGTAACATATCCATTGGCCTTACGTTGTAGGTCTTTCGAGATAGCGACTAGAAAGATCTTGGTAAAATGCAGCTCTTCTCCACATCAAAAAGGGTTAACAGTGTTTCTTCGTTGTTTTCAGTCTGTTCATAATTCAGGTCACAAATCCTGATCCTCAAACGGATCAGTTCCGTATACGTACCTTTTTGAAGCTAACCCATCTGCGTCTTGGCGGCGTTCCGCAAGGAGTATTTAACACTGTTAATCGTTTCCAAGTTGCGGTGGCACGCTACCGACGGACACCTCCACTGCACCTTCGATTTAACGCCGCCGGTAAGCTTAGTCATGTCTCCATTGTAGTCTGCGTCCCACGGGTATGTGAGGCGGGCGTATCTCTCGTGGAACGGAGGTCTTTCGTCATCTCGCAAATGAGCGTGTGCGTCCTCGCCTTTTTGGTGTTAGGTAGTACACTACTCGACGTTTTGTTCCCCGGCACATTCAGTCAGACATTCTGGATCGCTATCAAAACTGTCCAAGGCGGTGGTGGAGGCTCCGTCGTCAGTCAAGACGTACGGTGACCTCGGTGAGTAGTCTCTCGGCAAATGGGGCCGCTTCTTCTCTGTCGTCTCGCAGATGGGCGTGTGTGTCCTGGTGCCGATTGCCTTCTTGATCCTCGGATTCACGCTGCTCGACGTTCTGTTCCCAGACGCCTTCAGTCAGACCTTCTGGATCATCTTCATGGTTCTCATGGTCACTCCGATTTGCCTGATTCCGACGTTGAAGGAGAGTGCCGGCATAGCTTTCGCTGGTTGTATGGGCACTGGTATCGCCGACGTTATTGCCGTGTCCATTCTTCAGTACAATATGCGCGGCCACCCGTCCATACCCAAGCCGGACGTATCGGTTCTCCAGGTTATCACGTGCCTCGGTAATCTCGCTCTAGCGTACGGTGCTGCGATCGTGATTCCAGACCTACAGCGCGAACACTCGCAACGTCAACGGACGCCCGTGTGGTGGTTGTTACCATGCTGATCATTCAGCTTTCTTATTTTGCGATCGCTCTGGCCGGGTACACAGCGGGTGGCTGCCAGATCTCCGGTAACATCCTGTACTCAATCGTGGACAACGCCAATCCGATGGGAGAAGCTCCTCTCGGCTTCAGTCCCAACCGTGGCGCTGTCGTGATGGCGACTTTTTTCATGTAAGTGCAATTTTCCATCGCCTTCTCGACTTGGATGATGCCGGCTTTCTACATGGCTGAACACTTGGTGCTGGCATGCACAGGACCGCTCCAATTGTGTTCGATTCAACGATGTGGAAAACATTGAGGAGGATCTGGAACTGCAGGAGAAACATTCCTCCGTGCAAGTTTCGACGCTCCACGAGGAAGTCACAGAGGTGCAACTCCGTGAGTCTTACCGTGGAGTTAAGAACACGATCCGTTATATCACTCTCCGCATCACGATCATTGTGATGATGGACATTGTCGCCATTGCTGCGCAAAATAAGTTCCTGGATCTCGAGGACTTTACGGGCTCCACTGCTCACACTGTGAACTGTATGATTGTGCTGGTGCTGATCTACCCGCGTGTATTCTGGGGGGGGGGGGGGTCCGTTTTTGACATGGCGGCCTATGCTTGAGATGGTTATATACAGTCTTGCAGGTTTCTACGTGATGATCCATACTGGAAAGCAATTATTCACTCCTTCAGAGGACGATACCGCGTTCCCGTATTGCGACGCGGAATAACAGGACGAGCCGTACTACATCTACAATAGCAGCAACTAGACAAAATAGTAATGGTGTAGAGGAGTGCACTAGCCTCCGTGTCACCGTTTCAAAAAAAAATAAACAATGCATGGCAAGTAGTTTGTTGCCTGAAATGTACTAAGCTTGTCCTACCGGTATCCGAATTTCGGTAACTTTTCTACAGTAGTAATCTCGAATGATTGAAATCGTTCATCTAAACGCCCTTCTCATCCAAACGATCCCTCATCTAAACTACCTGATTACAGGTACAGGAGCTCATCCAACTCTTGAGTTTACTTTGGAGTCCACTCCAAAGTTTGGAGTGCAAACGGAAGAAGTTTGAATTGAATTAAATTGATAAATTGATAAATTGATTCACTGATACGGGAACTATGAAGTTGACCAGACAATAACGTAAACGCAGTGTTTTGGCACCCATGTCTTTACGTTCTGCAATGTGTGCACTACTGACGACTAAAGAGGAAGTACTACTGACTGAGCCATCAAGGCATGCCAGTACAGTAAGTACTGCTACACTAGTACAGGCAGGCTACCTGATGTAGCTATCTATACCTGTTGAACTGCAAGGTGACGTGACATCATCCGACGAGGCGAGACGACAGTGCAAGCCGCGAAATGTTTCTAATGGAATCCCTTTTAGTTTTTCAAATGCACGCTATGCACAAGCAAGCTATATCCACTTGTGATGGGTTGCACAGTACAACTTGCACCTCGGCGTCTTGCACGTGGCAAAAGGACTAGCAATGCTAGACCGCCATCGAGTCGTTGTTCGAAAATTTTCACTAAGGACTCCATCTAGAATCATGTCCATTAGTGCAAAATGCTCACAGCAAATGCGTTAAAACGGTGCGTACAGTACCATCAGCGTGTTGAGACTGCCACGTCACTGGAAACCAGGGTCCATCACGGTGTAGGTGTTGTACTGACACGTATTGACAACACATTTCGGGTTATCAAATGCAACACTGAATATTAATCTTCACCACCAACTCTGTAAAAAAAAAAACTGAGGCAGGCATGTTGATGTACAATTTCACGCATTATGATACCTCGATGCATGTTTAACATAAGTAGTGTAAGTGTAAGTACATCAACGGTGATCGACTTGCAAATCTCGTGTTCTATCTAGACTAGACTAACTAAAGTACAGTACTACAGTACCTCTAGTGGTACATGTAACGTAAAAAAAAAAAATCTGTCTCTAGGCAAGCACGTTGCAACACCACTTGCATTTCCACCTTTGATTTAAAGTTTGTAGGATGTAGAATGGACTTTTTCATCCAAACACTATTTCAACTTCTAGAACCAGTAATCACTGACGCATGGCCAAACAACGAACAGTGCTGCAAAGCACCCGCCCACGCTCATAGCCAACCCTGCAAGTTGCGCTGCGAAATTGCGTTGCCTTCCAACTCATTCATTCTCCAATTCTCCTCGTCTGGCATATACCCAACAAGCCACTTTGTGCTCGACCGTCTTCAGCAATGGGTCACGGTTCTAAGGACCCTTTCTTCACGCTCGAAGATGCCAAGGCTTCGTTCAACCTCTTCTGCTGCGTCCTCGGTATCGGCTCGCTTGGTATGCCCTCCAACTTCGCACGAGCCGGACCCATTTACGCGACGATCTCGCTCGCATTCATGTTTTTCGCAAACGTTTACTCGGCTATCAAACTGTCCAAGGCGATGCTGGCGGCTCCGTCGTCGGTCAAGACGTACGGTGACCTCGGTGAGTGGGCTTTGGGTAAATGGGGTCGCTTCTTCTCTGTCGTCTCGCAGATGGGCGTATGTGTCCTGGTACCTATCGCCTTTTTGGTGTTGGGTAGTACACTACTCGATGTTTTGTTCCCCGACACATTCAGTCAGACGTTCTGGATCGTCTTCATGGCGTTGCTGGTCATTCCTGTCTGTTTGATCCCGACACTGAAGGAAAGTGCCGGAATGGCGTTCGCTGGTTGTATGGGCACTGCTATCGCCGACGTGATCGCTGTGGCGATGCTGCAGTATAACATGCGTGGCCACCCATCGATCCCCAAGCCGGATGTATCCGTTCACCAGGTTCTAACCTGCTTCGGTAACTTAGCTCTGGCATACGGCGCTGCTATCGTGATCCCAGACTTGCAACGTGAACACTCTCAGCCGCAGCGAATGCCTCGAGTCCTGATGATCACGATCCTGACTATCTCGGCTTTTTTCTTCGCGATCGCGTTGGCTGGATACACTGCTGGTGGTTGCCAGATTTCTGGCAATGTGTTGTACTCTATTGTGGACACGTCGAACCCGATGGGACCTGCGCCACTGGGTTTCACGCCTAGTCGTGCTGCTGTTGTTATGGCGTATCTCTTTATGCAGGTACACATTTCCATCGCGTTCTCTACTATGATGATGCCGGCCTTCTACATCGCAGAGCGGTTGGTACTCGGAATGCACAAGACTGCGCCTATTGTGCGTTTCAATCCGGATGATGATGTGGAGAACGTGGACGATCTGGAGCTGCAGGAAAAGCCTTCTTACATTCAAGCTTTGACGCCCCAAGAGCGCGGAGTGTCGGCTTCCAGTTTGATCGAGAAGTCTGACGGGCGGATGTCGCACCTACGCGCTGCGATCGAGTTTCCCGAAGAAATCACTGAGGACCGGCTTCGTGAACCTTACAAGGGGACTAGGAACACTCTGCGCTACATCACACTGCGTGTTAGTATGATCATCATCATGGCTATCGTCGCTGTGGCTGCTCAAGACAAGTTCCTGGATCTGGAAGACTTCACGGGATCGACGGCTCACACGGTTAACTGCATGTTGATGCCTGTGATCATTTCCCTGCGCGTCTTCTGGAGAAAGATGTCCGTTCTGGACAAATCTGCTTCCATGCTGGTACTGGTCGGCTGTTCGGTGGCCGGTTGCTACGTCATGATCCATGCTGGAGAGAAGCTATTCACGTCCTCGGAAGACGACACCGCCTTCCCCTACTGTGAAGCAGAGTACCAGGATGAACCGTACTACATCCGTAGCACCACCAACTAGACTGGATCTTGCAGTGACAGTGTTGACTGCGCAGCTAGCACCTTTAGACCCTCCATTACACCCCCCGAGTTCAGTTGTGCTTTCGTAGCATTTTGTCTTACGTTTTCATACGATTTGGTTCAGTTTTTTTCACGTTTGCGTTGAAAATTTTACTCCAATCTCGAGACGAGTTTACGTTTACGTCGCCATCGCCAGCGCATGGACGACACATGTGTCTCTGCGCCAATTTCCTCCTCGAAGCAGAGGTTGTCCAGCAACTCATACAACGCGCTGCCATAGCGTTCGTTCATCCACGTGACAAACAAGCTACGCTGGAAATAGTGTTCACGCTCTTCCAGCAGGTACGAGGCAAAGCACACGAGATAGAAGTAGCGTTCCAGGTAGTTCACAGCGCGTAGCATGAAGAAATCGCGCTTAGAACTCGGAAGATCGCGATCCATCGCTAGATCGCGACATTGACTGATGCAGTCGCGCAGGTTCTGCATATGTTCGCACTGGTCGATAGCGTAGTCGACCAGTAGCTTGCAGTCTGATCCGTTGTCCAGCGTCTTGAGTAGTTTACGGATCACTACGAAGTCGGCTATAAGGGCAGCAGATTGGCGACGATGGCCAGCACCTCTACTGCCAAGAATCTCCTTCAGTAGACTAGGTTTACATGACGCGCTGTCCTCGAGCACCACACGTAACATGTACACACAGACAAGAGCAGTCGTAGTCCTACCACGACCCATCTGGCAATTGCAAATGACTGCCGTCTTGAGTTTCTTTTGAGCTGGATTGCTCTCGTCTGACGGGAGTTGGAGACCCAGTTCGTTCATAAATGCAGGCAGGAGCAGACGCACCATATCGTCCAAGTCCTTCTCTTCTGGTGCGGTCTCATCCGACACAGGGATACGCGCGTACCGTAAGTCGAACTCCGTTTGTTGCGTGGCGTCCTCGTAGACTTCAGTCAACGTCTTGACATCCATCAGTGGGTTAATGTGCTCCATAGTCTCATCATTCACCATCTCGCGAGGCTCGTACCAATACATGAACAGGCCGTTGTCCTTACGAACTTTATCTTGCAGTTCGAGCTTCACTTGTCTCTCGATCGCCGTGATCTCGTCCACTTCGATCCCCGGATACTCCACGTTAACCATGAGATCGTCTTGGTGGCGCACGCAGAACGGACGTCCCGTGACGTAAATAACAGCCTCCTCACGTAAGTTAATCCAGATCGCACGGTCGAACTCGTCACGTAAGTGGTCGATCACATCGATGATGCCTTGTTCCAGACACTGCGCGGTACCAAAGATGGGTTCATTGGCAATACGTCGGTAGTTCGGGACGTTCGTGGTCAGCTCGAACGGGATCCGAGCGATACCGAAGAAGTGATCCATCTTCAATACACAGTTGGCTAGCACCTTGTCTGACTTATAGCGCACACCACCCAGGTCATCTAACAAGCGGAATATGTTCGGATGCTGCTGAAGCCACTTGGAAAATGAAGGGTGCGTGTCTTCGTCAGTGTCTGGGGCAGGCTCTTCGCCGCTGTTTTTCTGGTGAATCTCGATCATGTAAGCTCCGAATACGATGAGGTAGAAGTATCTCTCTAGGAAACTCATCGCGTGGTGTAGATAATACGAACGCTTGGCAGGCTTCGCTTCGGCATTCGACAGATCGCGGTATTCGTGGATAACCGAGCGAATGTTGCAGATGGTGGCACACTCGTCGATGGCAGTATCCACCCATACCTTCGCTTCCCGCCCATATTGCAGACGTGTTTGGACTTCGCGGATAACCGCAAAATTACCCGATCCGTTCTGGTTTTCCGGTATTTCTTCTGGAGGCGTCAAAGCGTTGATATCCAAGGTGTTACGCTGGCAAATCAGCCTTCCAATCACCATGGCTGTAGTTGTACGTCGCTTCCCCATTTGACAATTGAAAACGAAGGCAGTAGCTCCATCATTCTCAGTGGCTTCCATCAACTTGGTCAGCATTTCTACGTCGCCTTGTTCCGGGGCGTTTTCTCGCTCGAAGGGGATCCGACGATACACTAGACTCTGAATAGCGTCCTGGTACTTGGCTACTTCGGCACTTTCATACAACTCCGGCAACGTTAGCACGTTTTCAGGCTCCGCAGTGTCTTCAATGAGCTCGTTTTCTCCCAGAGCCACTTCTTCCCAGTACTCAAACTGGTTATCTGCCACCTTCAACTCCTCCTGTAGACTGAGCTTCATCGATGTCTCCAGAACTTGAATCTTGTGGCCAGTAAGCCCTGGAACCAAGTCATTCTCGTTCAGCATAGCACTGCGTCGCGCTGTAAACGACCTTCCATTCACGTAAATCACCGCTTCCTGTTGAATAACCAAAATCAATACTCTTTTGATTCTAAGCCCGTACTTAAATATTGCTCACAAACCTCTCTCAAGTTCACCCACACGACTTTAGTAAACCCGTCCGCTGCTACTTGACTCAGAATCATCTGAATCCCCTCCTGTAAGCAGCAACAAAACATCAAATTTAACTAAATACCCCCC